GAAAATGAAGAGAGAAAATTTTAACTTTTCTTTCAATTGGCGGCAAAACACCTTTTCGAGTGCATCATGGGAGTATTCTGTATTTATTTAACTATTTTTTTATAATCTAACTTTATCATTCTTTATTGTTAATTATCATTCTTATCTGTATTTTAAAGTAGTTTTATTTCTTAACTTTTAATTTTTCTTTTATTATTAATTATTTTGGTCCCAAAATACTACATAATCCAGTAATAAGGGTTGGGAGTTATTTAGTAATTTATTTGTTACTATCACTACAATACCGTACACTCATTCAGATTTTCTTATGTAAGTCAATGTTTTCACAATAAATTTGATGTTGGAAAAATCTCTGGATGTATTTATATACAATGTGAATTTCAGTTTCAACCACTTGTTTTTATTAGAAATATTTTCAATAATTTACTAGTATTTATTTTTTAATTTTCAGCTATATAAAAATTGCCATGGATTGTAAGAAAGATATAACCTCAAAAGAGAAACAAATCTTATCATATTGAAAACACTGTTTCTCACCTGATCACTGAAATTAATCAAAATTGAACCTGGTCAGTGCCTAGATATGTGACTGTTCGGGAATGCCAGGTGTTGTAAGGTTGGAAGTGAAATGGTAATCTTTATAACATCAACAAATTACAATACTTGTCAGCAGCGTGAAGTAGGTAAACCACTGCTAGTGTTAGACTACTTAGATAGCATATTACCCCCCATTTACAATAGTGTCCAACATATTTATGAAGGTTGGGCCACACCCATCAGTGTTCATGGGTACAGTATATAGCAATATGTTTTGCTTATATAAATATACTAGCAGTATAACCTATCTTTGACTGGGTGTTTCATTACTGGGAATTTTTGCCGTTCAATTGGAGCAGGTTAAATTTAAAGTCAGCCCACCTGAAAATCAATATTAGTAACAGCATTTGGGTGCAACTGAGACACATCCCCAAATGGGGGCTCTGAAAAGGGCCATTTTTGCATTCTCAATCTTGCAAGGAAGGAACCTCTTGCATGTATTGTCATAATAATAATATATGATAATTTTTATTTATAATATAATTTTTTTATAATTCTAGCAATCTTTTGCATTAGATTTCAACTCTCTAAATCGAATTTATGCTGTTTTTTACAGACATTAAATTTTGCCTTTGATTTTTGCGCAAAGTGTAAAAAATCAGTTTTTTTGATTTTTCACCTTCAAGGTTGTAGCTTTTTTCCAGCCAATTTGGACTTAAAACCAGCACTGAAGAATTATCTATCAAACGAAAAAATTTCATCAAAATCAGATGAAAACTGTTGAAATGCATAAACAACATTCGCTCTCACACACACACACATACGTACACACACACATTTTGAGAATTATAGATATAGATTGTGAAAATTTTTACCAACATTATTTAATACCAATTTTATTGTGAATATAATTATTGCATAATAATAATATCTGACATAGTGTAATAGTTATTTAACTGCTTTCCTACATAAGGTGTGCTTTGCACCCATAAAGAAAGACATGTGCTTCATTCAGTCTCTTTAAACAGATACAAAGGCAAAGGAGAAATAAAACTGAAGATAGCAAAGAAAGCCTATTATAATTTTTTTTTGTTTTCACTCCATTTCTTCCCTTTTCCTTTCATCTTCTTTTCTTTTTCTGAATCTTTCTTACTTACCCTCTACTTTTCCTTTCATCTTCTTTTCTTTTTCTGAATCTTTCTTACTTACCCTCTACTTTTCCTTTCATCTTCTTTTCTTTTTCTGAATCTTTCTTACTTACCCTCTACTTTTCCTTTCATCTTCTTTTCTTTTTCTGAATCTTTCTTACTTACCCTCTACTTTTCCTTTCATCCTCTTTTCTCAATTCTGGTGTTGTGTGGAAATTATCAAATAAGCATTTGATGGAGATTATACATATAGCATTTTATTTCTTGTTTCATATTTGTTTTCTTTGGATATTTTGCAATGATTTAAAAGGCACAGTTCTTTCTAACATGCAACATTACCAGCTGTATTTTTCCTTTGTTACAGCATATCCCATATGTTACATCCTTGACTCAGAGCATTACAATGCTTACACTGAATGATCATTGATCCAACAGATATCATTGGATGATTTGAATAGTCACTGTATTGCAAAGCCAGCTTGGACAGGCTCATAAAATAGCTGCACTCCTTTTAGCATGATTGTGATTATCACTAACCTGTCTGCCATGTCTTTCATCAGGTGTTTCCAAAGATCTTGCTCTTTTCTGGTTTGCAGCGTGTGTTTCTCTCCTTGATAAAGTCTGTCATCCTCTGAAGCTCTTGATCTTCTCTTCCTTGCTGTATCTGCTTCTTTCCTTGTTGAAGTTTTGCTGTCATCTGCAGCTGCTGACTTTTGCTTACTTGAAGCATCTGCTTGCAACTCCTTTGATGTTTGAGATGCTTCTGATCTGATCTGTCTTGCAGTATTTGATTCTCTCTTGACTTGTGCCTCTTCTGATATTTCAGATGCTTTTGATCCTCTATGATTTGCTGCAGCAACTGCTTGTCTCCTAGCTTGTGAAAACTCTGATGTTTCTTCTGCTCTTCTCTTGACTTAGAGCTCTGGTCTTTGGATTTTTCCATGGCATTTTGAAGAAATAACTTTGAAATCCTCAATTCACTCCATGGAACTTCAAAACCTCACTTTAACTCCAATTCTGGCCAAAAGTCTGAAACTCCAATTTAGGCCAAAAATTGAGTTCTTCAAATCAAGAACTCTGTGGATCTTCAATTGAGTTGAGTTCTTCAAATCATAAACTCTGTGGAACTTTAAAATCTCACATCACAAAACCTCTCACTTTAACTCTGATTCCTTGGCATTTTGAAGAAATAAAATTGATTTCCTTAATTCACAAAGCTTTGGAGATATTTTAAACTGAATTTAATGCAAAAATTTTTTAATTCACAAAGTTTTTGTATTACATTAAATTCACTATAAATTAAAAACTTTTAAAATCACTAATTTTTTTTCAGTTATTTTATTTGGTCACAAATCCCAATGCCGGATGTTCAAGCACCAGATGAAGGATCCTGATTCCAAAAAGGTATATTATATCTATTTAAAGCAAGTTAGAGGGGTTTCAGACACATGGACAGACAGACAGAATTTTCCATTAATATATTTAGATAGATAGATAGATAGATGATATGTAGTCATTTTAAAATTTAATTATGCTAGTTTTGTTTGTGAGAAAAAAATTTTTAGAAATATTTTTCTGTTTAGCATTCTTTAGACCTTCCTTAGGCTGCAACACTTATAAGAATGAAAAATTATTGATTAATTATTAATTATTAATTATTGATTTAGAAATGGTATCCTGTTCATAATAGTGATAAAATATAAAATCATTGCCAACTTTAAGAGTTGCAGAGATTACTTCAAATAGTCATGTTTGAAACTGCTGATGTCATTGATATTTGTGTACAACTCTTTTGTTATATTGTTTTCAAAACATTTTTTTTATCTTTTGTTTTTTGATTTGTTTTGTTTTACAGCATTTCAACCTCAATGGGTTATTTAATGCTAACAAAATTTTTATTGCTGGTAATATATTTTTTCCAAAAAAGTATTACTAGTAATAGGTTTTTCTTCAAAAATCTATTTCTGGGAATATTTTTTCTTCAAAAAATGTATAGCTGGTAATATCTTTTTTATATTCACCAGTCTTTGTGTCACTTGTCACATACACTGAACCAGTGTATGTGACTTTTCAGCATTACCAGATACAGAGATTAAACTTACTGTCAAAGAAGTCATTATGTTTTTTACCAGTATTAAGTTTATTAAGCCTTATGTCAAGAGACTCCAAGATGAATATAACACCCAAGACGAGCATGTTGGTCTAAATAGCAAAGCATATAATAATGATCATTCTTTATCTGAAAAACCGACAAAAATTATACAGGTTGTGTCTAATATATTTGTACATTTTTATTTTAAAGTTTTTCTTGTTGGTGGATTAGTTTCTTTAACCCTGCATTAGTCGCCTCAAATTTCTGAAAATGGATAAACCCTGGCATCTGCTTGGTTTGGTTTGTTTTACGGCAAATAAACCTCAATGGGTTATTTAATGCCGACAAAATGTTTATTGCTGGTAATTTTTTTTTCAAAAAATGTATAGCTTATAATATTTTTCCAAAGAAATGTATTGCTGGTAATATTTTTTTCAAAAAATATATTACTGGTAATATTTTGTTTGTAATAATTTTCCTTTAAAAATGTATTGCTGGTAATAATTTTTCCTTCAAAACTATATTGCTGGTAATAATTTTTTCAAAAATGTATTGCTGGTAATAATTTTTTCCTCAACAATGTATTGCTGGTATTAATACCTATTTTTACACCTATTTTGACCCCCTTTTTGGGGGTTGACTATTTTCCCATAGACGGGACCCTAACAGGTGCAACCACCCCGGGCCTGGGAACAGTAGCAATTAAGAGGTGGTTCCATGCTCCTCAAAACCTCCTGATCAGAGGCCTTGCTGTTGGACGTAGTTTATCGTCTTACCCAGGATGCCCTGGTGTCTGACTCCAACAACAATTGAGATACAACTGTGCTACACTCCTTCACTAAGTCTGGAGTGTAGTGGTAAGAAGCAAAAGAAACAAGTTGCCAACTAAGAATTACAAATACTTTAAAAAGTTGGGGGTAACAAAACACCACATGTGACTAACACAAGGTTAATTTGGTTTGATTGATTTATTTTTTATGGCTTTGCAGATTATTTAAAGCCATAAAATATTTTTAGATTGTAAGAATTATTTTTTTGAGATAATAATAGTTTAAAGATACAAGTCTTACTAATTAACCCATAGCTGTGGGAGAAGAGGTGGTTTCATACCTTTCCCAAGGGTATTTACACATAAGTGAATATAACAAACCCAGCAGTACGTAGAACTTGGCTCTGATTAAGAATTCTGAGCCATTATCCATTACACCAACTGCACATCCAAGCTTACAGCACCTGATATTCCCAAGCAATCACCCATCTTGGTACTGACCAGGTTTGACATTGCTTACCTTTGGTGATCATATGGGAACTGGTGTTTTAATGTAATGTGGCTGTAAGCCTCTTTAACTTGGCATTGAAAGTGTGAAGAAACTGTCTACAATTTATGTTAGTTCCTGTTAAGGTTCTGAGTTTTTGACAGACTTCAGTCATTGATAATGTTTGAAGGCAGTCAAAAGGTTAGATTCATAACAAAAACTTATACATAGAAAGAAAGGCATGATAGACATAATTTGTCTTTTTAAAATTGACTGGATATTTCATGCCTTGATACACAACAATATATAGGGTGTCCATAAAGTTCCTGTGCACTTTAAACTTATAAATTTTTAAAGTGCACACGAACTTTATGGACACCCTGTATAACAACTTTAGACATTTCATCAAAAATGGTGATGTCATATGTGATTTTTTTAAAAAGTTTTTAGCTTTTTACAAGAGAGTCTTTAAACATATTTTTTATAATTATTATTGTTGTACCCTGCTCTTTCATGAAGTCAATCTTTTCACTTCCTGGTTTTGTAAAACAACCCAACATTATCATGAAGACACTGCCAGATTGTGCCCCCCAGTGAAAGGGATGTAATTTTGTAAGTCCTATATTCTGTGTAACATATCCACACTACACTAGGTGATGCTGCTGTGGTTTCTATAGCAATGGGTTGAATTAAATTAAGTACAAAAAAAAAAAAAAATAATTTACAGACAAAAAATACATGTTGCCTATCAAGAGTGAGTTGGTCACTATGTTTGGCTCTCCTTTTTGGAATAGAACAGGAAGGCTGAAGAGTATAACAGATGAAATATTTTAGATTAAAAAAAATTGTTTGATTGGCTGAAGGAATATATTTAGTTGGTTATCAGTTATGGGGGAGTTGTTTATCTTATGACATCTGTTCCCATCATATATCAGTATTATTGATTTGGGTGTATATAGGTTTTATGCAATGATTAAAAGAAAATGCAGTGTTGAAGAATACAAAAATCTTTATATAATCACAATATAATAAAACAGAATGATAAAGTGAAAATTGAAGTTTTAAGAATTCAAATGTAAAAGTCCTGGTGCATATATATATATATGTGAGAGAGAGAGAGAGAAAAAAAAAAAAAAACATACACACATATATATCCAAATATAGTAGCCACTACTTGACAATGGGGTGAAATAAAGGTATGTTTGTTTTCAATGTAGCAAGGACTGGTTAGCTAGTTGTGCAAATGTATTTTGTCTCTGGGTATGTTACTATATCATGAAAGAATGAACAAAATGAATTTGTCGACTTTGATTTTCCATCTGTTTATATATGCAACCATAGAACTTTTTTTGAAAAAGTTGCTCACAGCCTTATATCCTGGTTGTGAAAGTTTTCTGATTGGTTGGTCGATCTATGGCCTTGTTTGCCTGGCGATTTTGATTATCTGTTTATTTTTAGGTTAAATTTTGGTCCTTATTTTTATTTATTTCTATCTCCACATATACATCTCAATTATGTTATTGCTGCAGAAATCTAGTATGATGTTTTTGACAACTACAAAACTAGCTCCCTGCAAAAAGAAAACCACGTCTGGTCTTTAGATTGTATGTCTGCGTATCCGTTGTTTTGTGGCCAGCTATTATTGTAGAATAAGAGGATGTACTTTTATTTTTTTTTAACTAAAAAAAAAAAAAAAAAAATCCTCCCCTCTCAGAATAATAGTGACACAACATTCTTAATCCATGTTTACTTCTGTACCAGACTAAATTAAATTTTAAATCAAGCCTTAGCCTCTTGTCTGAAATTCGAACCTTAGGTTTTCATTTCAGTGCTTTTTAGTAACAATGTTGATTATCCGGTATTCAATGGTTTCTACTATAGTTGCACTCGCTTTACTCAGCTCTAACTAACATTTTTTTTTTAAAGAGCCACAAATAAATCTCGTTAACAGATGTACTGTTACACTTTAAGTGATGGAAGCACCGTATTTCGTATAACCATTTTACTATCTGCGTCATCAGATGAAATTAGGTCGACAGCAAACGAAAGAGACTTGAGATTTTTTAGAAAATTTCAAAATTCAAATCAGTTAAAAAAAAAACAAAACAACAAAAAACACTATTTGTTCACGTAGCAAGCAAAATTAGTGTCCGTCTATCCGTGAAATGTTTTTGTGTTTATCTGCAAGCTAGCAAGCAGTAAACATTTGTTAGTAGGCGGAGTAAAGCAACTCAGACGAAGTTAGTGAAAACTGAAAACTATTATAAATTTACTTTTGTTAGTGACCAATAATGACCCGAACTCAGAACCAATTTATTCTGATTAAAAGAAAATTCTTCAGCTAGATAGTGAAAGAAAGCGAGCTGGCTATCTATTCGGTTAGCTTTTTTGTCTTACAGCACAAAAGGCGGTTTTACTTTTATATCTTAAGTCTATTTAAAAGTTTTACTTATTTACATACCATTGCAAGACAAAGCTTGCTAGCTTTTTTTTTTTTTTTAAAATCAGTGCCAGAGTCTAAAAATTTTTCTTGCTCGCTGTGTGTGTGTGTGTGCGTGTGTGTGTTTTCAGCTGTTGAGAGCACATTAATACACCATAACTAGTATACCATTAAAACTTGTGACCCATGCAATGCGGAATTTAGAGTAATAATACGTTAGGAGTGTAGAAAATGCACCGAGTCTCTTCCCCCACAGTAATCATTATCGGGTTATAGTTCACTACAGAAGAAACCACAAGATAGGTTGGCTGTAGCGTTGTCATAAGAGGTGGACTCAGTGTCGCCTGGATAGCAATCATGGTATATCTAGCTCACTAGATTCCGAACAGGGTCTTCTCGGTGAAGGAGTAATAAATTCGCGCCCAGAAGTTCTCGGGCTCAACCTAAATCAAATATGCACTGTTTTAGTTACTAACTTGGCAGAACTTTGAGAAGAAGCAAAAAGTTAAAAATTTTAGGAGCCAATGTTGACGGCTCTGTAAACAAAGTTTTTCTTTTTTTTTTCTGATCAGAAAATGGCGCGGGCGTAGCAGACTAATTTTTCTGTTCCAGAGTTGAAGTACCGTTACAAAGTAACGATACATTTTATGGCTAATCGACAATTATATTTTACTAAGGAAGCAGTCATTGTTTACGTTGTCTTCCGTATCAGACATTATTTGTTTGGCTTTCTCAATTGAAAGAGTTATATTTTATATCTGTTGTAAGAGTAAATGAATAGATTTTCCCCCACTCATTTCTTAACGACGGGGGCTAATAAAGGTTATAGGACTTGGAAATTAAATTTCAGTTAAGTCTATTTTTTTTTTTTTTTTTTTTATTCTCAGCACGTTCAATTTGCAGAAGGAATTGAAAAGTTGAGCGGCGATGTTACCCAGAGCCATATTTTAAAACAAGAATCTTAATTCTAATGCAGCGAAGGAAACTTAAGTCTTTAATTTGTTTTGCATAAAGACGTCTGAAGTATGCTAAACACAACTAAGGGTTACGGATAGTTGGTTTATTTACAGTCATAGAGTTAATCAATAAAAGGTTTAATTAGAAAAAAAAAAAAAAGCAATGGAATAATTCTAAGACAAAGATGTAACTTCCGTAGCCTAAAATGTGTTCAACGTGTATATTTTATAACAGACGTAAATGACTTCCAGATTATTACAATACATGGTACATTAGTACGAATCCTTCGCAGATTCGATACTATCCTTTAAGAGGTTTTTATGCTTGTCAAATGAGTCCAGTTTAAAATCGAAGACATTTTAGAGTGGGTCTCACAAGTTTCCGTTGACAAAACAGAATTTACCATTTATAGTATTTGGATTCCAAAAAACCAAAACACTTAGCAGTTTATCGCCAAAACAAAGGACAAAACAATATGGCGGAAACAAAGTTATATGGTTTTAGTATATATTTTGGAAGATCTCAAAAGACGGGCTGTTTCTGTCCTTAAATATTATACGAAGAAATAGCCATAGCTGCTTTAAAATGGTCCAAACTAATCTGTTTAAGCAGAAACAAATTAGACGCTACAAAATGCTTGCTCGGTCTTCTGGATTGAGCAGGGCTGATGTTTCTTCTAGTATTGACGACCGACTATGAAAATACAAGTTGACATAGAAAGCGTTCATTTTATTTAGTGTGTATGTAACCACTGGTGCTCCATAACTTTTTTAATATTAGGTCGCGACTTGTATTCCCGAGTCAACAGGGAGTCCAAAAAACACTTACTCTGCAAACTGTAGTTCCAGTTTAAGATGGGAGTTCTTCGAGGCTGCGAAATACTGGAATTAGGAAAAAGTTGCTGTCGGTTGAATAAGAAGAACGTTATTATGCCAAGAGACCAAATATCCGGTTTTAACGGGTCAAAGCATCGAGTTTGAAAGAATTCAGGTGCTGCGTAAAGGTAAGACACAAACGGATAACTAATGAGACGGTCAGGCTGAACAATGCAGGAAGAGCCTAAACCAGCAATTTTTAGGTCGGTGGAGTTTTGGCCAACTAAAATATTGTCAAGATTCAAATTCCGGTGGGCAATACAATGAGAGTGTAAGAATTGAATTCCGCGGCATAGTGTAGTCACCATTTTTCTGTAATCCTCTTCTTCAAGATTGCCAACGCGCTCTAAATATTCCGCCAGATTTCCGTTCTTCGTTTGCTGTGAAACCATGAAGACGGTATCTTTCAATCTGAATACACCGTAGTGAAATAAAACAGGGGTGTTCTCTTCGTGATGCAACTTAGAAATGAAGATCTCGGTATCAACTGAATGGCATATGGCTTTGTTAGCATAATTGTGGAGGCAAGCCGCTTTAATACACAATACTTCCTTATTGGGCTTGTTGAAGGCCTTATAAATGCGAGAGCAAGTTCCGTAAATCAGTTCGCCAGTCAGTTTACAATCAACTTTCTGGAGAGCTTCCTCTAACAAATTCTGATCAACACACAGATCAGTTGTACATTCGTGTTTAATATGTGTTCTTGCTGGGAACTCCACTTGAGGTAGTACTGACAGGCTTTCTTTCATATTCAGGCGTAGCGTTGATGCTTTGAGCGTGGTCTCCCCGAACGCA